GGGCTGGAACGCAACTGTATACTAGGTAGAGGATATACATTTATCGGCGGCTTCAACGTGTATCGGCAAACAAACACATAAATCGAACAAGAATGTCGACGATAATCGATGAAATACCGTCGGCGATTTCAAGGTAACCCGGCTGTAACTACCCTATAGTGTCCAGTTTAACCCCCCGTTGCGCATACGCCGTTAGCTCACGTCCCAGAGTCCCGATCCATTGACCCACTTTTCGACAACCCCCGCAGGTCGTGTATCTAGTTTCCCGCCACCCTCGCCCCTTCTACCGCCCCCGCTACACCCCTCTCCCCCCCCCATGCCCCGTTCCTTCTTACCTCTCATCGATTCCACGCGACCCAACGACGAAGTGCGCCAATTTCAAAAAAAAACTCCTCTTTGTCGCTTACCGTACGTACTACTCGATATCGCTGTGTGTTTCCTTCGAGAATATATCGTTTTACGTTTTGTCAAATAAGAGATCGAATGGAAACGTTTATTGTTTCCTGAATAATTGCTTGATGCTCGACATACGTTGTATATCCGAATAAAGTGAATTTCGTTTGGGAAAGGAACGTTTCGATTTATTAATCCCTAACTCTTCTTTCTTTACGTATATGTCGTCTGTGATTTTTTTTTTTTTTTAATAAATTATCGATTATGAGGACATGTTGATTACGTTGGTGCGTTCGAGGAGACGTGTAATGGTTGCTACTAATTTGTATGAGATCCGTTCCATCAATAATCGTGTCTTGATGCCGGCTGTGTGCAACGCTAACTGATACAGGTCGGCGTAAAACTGTAAAGAGAAAAAAGAGTAAAAACAAATTGCGAGCCTTACTATTGTATTTAAGGTAATAGTCGTCCTACAATGGCATCCAAAAGTTTTATACATAGATTGTATACATTTGTGTATAGATATATGTATGTAGATAGATGCATGATGTAAAAACATAAGGTGTGTTCTTCCGTCGTGTTCAAATGTGTCGCTGTTTGCGCCTTCCACTCATCGGCCATTTTTGAAGTACGATGACCTATTGTTTATTTCAAACACGCATATATATTACACTCCGAGTACCTAGTTTTTGACATGTTTACGATTTTTAAATTCGCTCTGTTTTAATATGAAGCGTGATTGGTTAGAAATCCAAAATGGCCAACGAGTGGAAGCGTCCGTGTACAGATGGATGTTCACATGGATGCGCAAGAACACACCTTATGTTTTTACACCATGGATGCTATCTGAATTTCTTACTGAGGACAGAAAGGTAAATATGAGCAGAGATGAGGACGGCCTATGAGCAAAGTGTTCTATGAAAGCGTATACAGGGTGCCCAGAAAAAGTGTTAGGGCCGAAGAGACGTGATTCTGTAAGTGTTTCTGAACAACAATATCGTTTGCCAAAATGCAAAGTGAGGTATGGTTTTTGAATTATTAACGAAAAACACTGACCAATGAGAGGACGCGTAGGGCCTGCGCTGACCAATGACCGAGCGCCACGATCTCAGCCACCATTACCGTGGCTGAGCGCGGGCCCTACGCGTACTCTTATTGGTCAGTGTTTTTCGTTAATAATTTAAAAACCATGCCTCATTTTGCATTTTGGCAAAAAAAAATGTTTAGAAAATTAATTTTCGCGGCTACTATCTTAATAAATAAACAAATAACAACAGAAGTAAAATCTGTGTGAATTTGAACTTGGAAAAAAACGACTCGCTTACTTTAGTATCGTCTTCCTCTTCGAGTGGCAAGTCTGAGAACTCCGGACTAACTTCTGTACATCGTATGCGCATGGTCCTCGAAGGAGATACGAGAAGCGTCAAACTTGTACGCTGAATTCGAAAAAATCCTCTTAACAGTCGTTCATAAATTAGGTGTTGAATACACGAAACGACGTCTCCTCACCTCTTTAGCGACGCAACCATGCACCTCCTTGAACAGCAGTATAATGTCTCTGAAGTCGCGCGCCGCGTTCCATCGCGACCAGGAGAAAACGTAAGAGGTGGACAGCAGGGCCATGCAATTCCTCAAGTGTTTCTCGGCGAACGGGTGCTTCATCGAAAATCCTTTCAAGTAACTGGCTGCGTCCCGTTCCGGAAACAGGTCGCATCCAACCTGTTGCAATCGCTAAGAGAAAAAAACAAACCGACTTCGCAAAGATTTCGCGGTAAAGAAACGCAGAGAAACGAATTACCACGATCAGGGATTCTAACTCCATGTACTCGCCGAGGATTCCTTTCAGGGGTCCACTACCGGTGCCGGTGAACGAGTTCAAACAGACTCGATCTTCCTGCGCGAAGAAAATTAAAACGATTCCTTGATTTAGTAGTTTCGCGAACCCGCATGTTGATAATAATAATAATTAGCCTGCGAATCTTCAAGTAAAATGAAACATTTATAGCATCAGTTTAAAACATCTGTTGGATCATTGAATCATTTTGATGTTTTATGCATTCATCAGTGCACCAAATCTGCAGTCTATTGATATAAAAATTAGGTGTTCTAGAAAAAGTGTTAGAGCCAAGGAGAGGTGACTTTTAAGTGTTTCTGAATAGTACTCTGTGCACCAAGGGCCGAAAATGGGTCTTTTCGGGCGAGGTTGATGTTTGAGCACGAGTGGCAGTCGAGGGCGCCACAGGCGCCCGAGATGAACACGAGCTGCTCAGAACATCATCCGAGCCTGGAAAGGTCCATTCGGCCCGTGTCGCACACAATATTTTTCATAAAAAGGGCATGAAAAAGACCATCTTTCGTTGCCTACAAAGTGGATTGAAAATAGAGTTTTCCCGCCCTATCCATTTTACCGCCCTAGGGCGGCAAAACTCTATTTTCGGTCCACTTTATAGGCGCCGAAAATGGTCTTTTTCGGCCTCGTGTTATGAAATAACAATTTCCTTTGCCAAAATGCAAAGTGAGTTATGGTTTTTGAATTATTAACGAAAAACGCTGACCAATGAGAGTACGCGTAGGGCCCGCATTCAGCCACTGGAGTGGTGGCGCTCGGCTATTGGTCAGCGCAGGCCCTACGCGCGATCTCATTGGTCAGTGTTTTTCGTTAGTAATTCAAAAACCATAGCTCACTTTGCATTTTACCAAAGAAAATTGTTATTCAGAAACACTTCTCTTCGGCTCTAACACTTTTTCTGGGACATCCTGTATGTACCCTAGTTACGAATTCTGCTTGAACGGTGGCTGCCGTTATGGTAAGTACAACACCGCCGTGCTCCCGTCCAGCTTTGCCCGTTTCCGGCTTCATCTCCCAGCTCTGAAACGGTAGATTCGCGAACTTGTAGACAGCCAGTCCATGAATACCCAAACGGCCAGTCCGAAACGCGATCGTCTGCTTCTCCTCGTTGTACTTCACGTCGTGCACGTATTTCGTCGACCACATATTCTTCTCCGGAATCCAATGCGCGATCATCGGTGGTTCGAACCATAAGACCGACTCGGGCAACCTGTCCGGAATAGAAACGATCTAAAGAAAATAGGGAATACAATTTGTCGGACGTACTTAAGATTGATGAGAACGAGCGCGTCCATCGCTTGCTCGAGGGCTTTCATCTCGGCCTCAATCACTTCCGGCGTTCTCTCCGCGTCAGGCGCTGGCTGAGGCGTTTCGTAAGTTCTGACGAACGGCACGAACTTCGGCTCCTTCGGCAATTCGACTGTAATCATTCAATCCAAATAGTAGTTCTCGTCGCCAAGTGCTTTCCGATCTGGCAAATATGCTCACGAGTCGTCAGCTGAGTGTCCTGGCCCAGATCTTTCGGCTGCGGCGGCTGATAGAGAAGGTCCACGTGAAAGACGCCCCCGAGGATTCTATACTTGCGCAAGTTCACTTCAGTGATCTCGCACCGAGTGAACAGAACTCTTCTAATTTCCAGCCTACTGTCTTCTACAAAGCAAATACATATAAGTTTGACAGTTACCGGCCGATGGTGTGTAACGAAAATCGTACCCTCTTTGTGACGAACGACTTCCTTCGGCGTCGGCAAATACGGTAACATCTGCGCTTTCGAAGGAATTACCGCCGACAAAATGTTTTCCAATTCTGCCTGAGGTGTTTGAGGTTTCCTAGCTATTCTACCCCGCCTCCTCTTTCTATCTAACCTGGGAGACAACGTGGGGTGCTCCATTTTTTCTAATATCGCTTTCTTCTCTTCTAGGCGCAGCTTGCGTTCCTCCGCTTGCTCCTCGCGTATCCGAACTATTTCCTCGTACTCCCTAACCGCGAAGTCCAGCAGATCTGAAGAATGTGAGAGGTGACTTTCGAAACTTTGACTTATCGGGGCGAACGATCGTAGAGAATGAACACACCGAGGGAGGGGTCCCATAAATTTGTCAGATGCTCCGGTAGCTCGGGCATCCGATAAGAATTCGCCCTGACCGAGTAGTGATCGTAAGCCAGCCAGAGACCCCTGATAGCCATGCGATAGCAGTCCATGTCCGACGGCATTTTGATGCTCAACTCCATTTCGTCGAATTGCACCTCGATCGATTTCCTGCCGATCGGGTAGTAAAATGACATTTGTATCGCGTCTTCGCGAGTGGCTTTAAGGATGTATAGACTATACAGGTTATCCCAAAACTAGTGCAAGATATTGAAATGGGAGGTTCCTGACGTGATTTTAAACAACATTTTCCTTAGCGAAAAAGTTGTCCTAGGCGTGGTTGAGGAGTTATTAAGGACGTTAGTCCCGCTCAGTTGGTCTCAATCATTTCAAGTGTTGCCACGTAGTGGTACACATATTAAATAGAAACAAATGGTTGAGAATCTTTGGCCCTCTAATACATCGCACAGCGTATACATACGCACTTACACAAGCTTACACAGAAGAGCCTTTGCCGCTATTGGCTACACTATCCCC